CCCTACACGTTAATATTTAAAAAGAAGGTACAGGGTTAAGGAGGGGAAGAGGGTCCCCATTCTAGAAAACACAAAAAAAAAATACATTTGACTCACCCCTAGGGGTCCCTCTTCCCTAACTACAACTCACGCAAAAATTAGTCTCCAAAATACAGGTATACCCAGAAACCAGAAAAAAGAATCCAAAAATAAAAATAGTAATCTTGTGTGCTTGTATATCTTGGAAGTATTTGAATGAAAACAAAACAAAGAAAGTCATGTAAAGGAGCCATCCTCTGCGCCACAGCCAAGAGCAAGGACTCCATCCCAGCCCGTGTCTTCAAAAATGAGATCCTCCTGTAATAACTGACAAAACCAGCCAAGCCAAACAAAAAGAGGGAAACCAAAAGAGAAAATTCAGCAAAGTTCAGCCTAACCGAACAGTTGATGACCAAAACACATAAAATCTTAGAACCGAATGTAGGGGAGATTTAAGGTATCTCCAATGATAAGTCTCCGAAGAGGGGCAGTGGGATGTGTGCCAACGTGACAAGTCTCCTCTGCATATTTGGCAAGCTAGTCAGTAGGGGAGTTGCCCTCTCTATGAATAAACTTCCATTTAACCTTAAGATGTTTTTCAGCTATAAGAGCTATTATTCTTTTAAATATACCAATTAAATCCCAGAGTGGAGAAGTAGTGTCAACCAAAATATCATAAAGCATTTTTGAATCCATCTCCACCTCCAGCTTACAAAAATTGAAAATGTTGGCCACCACTAAAGCCAAAAAGACTCCCTAACATTCAACAACCAATGAGTTTCGACAATAACTGGGGAAGTGAAAAAACCAAGACATTTCCCCTCAAAATTTCTAAATAAACCACCAACCACAACACAGTTAGCATGCCAACAACCATCAACATTTAATTTCACATAATTAACATGCGGGGGAGTCCACAAAATAAGCGGAGGGACCTTAGTGGTGTTAACCATGGAAGAGCTAGCTCTTAAAGCTTTATTATAATAGGCAATCACATATGCAACAATCATAGCAATAGAGAGGGGAGAGGTGTGATAATTAAAGCTATTTCTGGTTTCAGAAGTCCCAAAGAAACCACAAAACCAATAAAGGGAGGGGAAACCTCCCCTTACAGACATCAAAATCCTTTCATTGTCATAAATAACTAGTTAAAGATACTCTATGTGTCCAAGAGAAACCAAAGTGAGTGTCAATCATATCCCAGACCTCCAAAGAGAAAACACACTCAAAGAAAATGTGTGTTATATCCTCCTCCTTCATTCTACACATATGGCATATAGAGGCTAATTTCAAGCCCTTATGCTTAAGAATGTCATCCAGTGGGATTAACGACATAAGATAACGCTAAAGAAAAAAGGATAGAGAAGGAGATAAATATTTATGCCAAATCCATTTCCCCTATATCCAGTCACGATGTGAGTGTAGAGTGTCATAAATGAGCTTGCAAACTGAGAGAGAATTGCTTCTTTTCCACATGGGGATATCTTTATGAATAGGAGTGATGAGGATTGCGAGTATATGCTTTGCATTTTGTTCCCCAACCGTAGAGCATAATTTAGAAAAATCCCAACCTTCATTATCAAAGAAATCAGAGACCAATAAAGAGTTAGAATGAGGGGAGTAAGATAAGCCAGAATTGTGAGAAAAACCCCAATTTTCATTCCAGAAGTAAATGTTCCCCTCTCCAATATCCAAAAAAATGAAACCATTTGCTGTATCTCTAGCATTCACTACAGTTTTCCAAATACGAGAATCTCCAACCTTCCAAGAGACCAAGGAAGGATGAATATTAGCACAATATTTTAGCCTCATAAACATAGCCCAAAGAGAGGAACCTAATCTAAATTTGAACCAAAGCTTACAGAGGTTCACTTCCACAGTATGCTTTAGTGCTTTAAAATCGAGACCACCAGCTTCTTTAGACTTACAAACTTTATGCCAAGTACTCCAGATTTTCTTTGCACCATTCCCCACCCAAAGAAATTTATT